AACAACCTCTATACAACGAAAGGAGACTGCGACCACACAAAAGGCCACACCATCTTGGTCTTCATACCAATAATTAATGAAATTCATTGGAAATGTGGGGCCTACCCCTATCATTGTGGGAAAATTCAACTATCAGCCCTTAATCACCTTATGCGACCTAAAGTGAGTTAAGTTTGAAATCTCTTGCTTCGATGTTGCAAACAGAAAATTTTAAGCAAGCTTCGTACATTCTCTGCGTGTCCTATTTAAGCATAGAGGAAAAATTCAACAATTGATTGATCGTCAAAGAAAAGCTATAGTTGCTAGTTAACTTTGGTTAACTTCGGTTGACTTTGGTCTGAGTCACTGATATTTGCTACCAAATCACAAAAAAATAAAAATTAAGTAAAGTAACCAGAGCAATATAAAACACTTCAGTATATCTCTACAAGTCTTAAAGATAAAACTTGATGCATATGGAATCTGGAAATGCATGTCCGTGCAAAGAATAACTGACAGTAGAGGCATATGGAATAGTGACTCCATGATGGCCGCTAAACTAGAAGACCTAGGTTCAAGTTAGAGCAGTTATAACTGGGCGAAGCGACAAATTTTATCCAACAAGAATTAGAACGGAAGTCCATTTGATCTCCATGATAAAAAAGATGAACCATTTATGTTGAATAAAGACAAAACATGAGCATAAGAAAACATATTAGAAGACATGAATGTGACGCGATAAAATGAGTGGCTGCACTCCTGATCTCAAGGCCTTAAAACCTGATGTCGGTCTTCTGAGATAGATGAAGTCTTATTCGAAGGTATTTTATGGAGAATCGAAGTGTTGAGCATTTACTTTAAAATAAAATAAGCTAACTTCCTTGTCTATCACATTATCAATGCTTAGCTGTATAATTCTCGCAAGACAAATTATACCAATTTTATAATTTAGGGCAAAAAGAAATATCGATATTAAAAATAATTGGTCTCGAAATTGTGTCAGAATTGGACATCAAGTGGTCATCAAAAATATAAGCATGAATATATATATATATGAATTTCAAGTGTCTTAACTTCTATTGTAAAAAAAATCAAGTTACATATGAAAAAACCTCTTGATATAATCATGCCAAATGAGGGAGAATATTATTTAATGGTGGAGTGAAACGAATTCCACGGTGAAGCTAATCAATACAGAAAAAAAGTGTTTTGAGTTTTACACTCGGTGTCTACTAGCAATGCAAAATAAAGATGCTTAATCAGATTGAAGATGCTTGTGCCTTTTTCGTGTTTTACCTCATTAAAGGGTAACCGATCTATGCAGGCCAGAAGACCAGCACCATCATCCAGATCCTCGACGAGTATTCTTACACAGTCGATAGATCGAGCAGCCTGAGTAGCCAATTGAAGTGCGTGTTTAGGATATCCGGCTCGGCGAAGCACACGTAAAAGAGAGGATACATCGAGATTCAGTTTTGTAGGGGCCGAATCTGAGACATGAACATTAGCCGATACGTCCGAGGTTTCTGTGGGGCAAGAAAGCGCAGTAGAACGGACATCGGTCGCGGGGAGACGGGCAGCGGCTGACTAAAAGCACAAAGAACGAATGCGACAGGGAGGTGAATTTAAAAAGTATAGAGTAGATGACAGGGAATAGGAAGGAGTAACAGTAAAGGCAAGCAAAGAAGATTAAAAGTGAGATTAGGAGGAAAAAAAGTAAGAAAAAAAATATGGCGAGTCTTTAAAATCAGACCGAGCTGGTAGATATCCTAGTTATATGCTAGGCTACCTTTGACTTCAACTTATAAGAAAAGATTTTTGACTGGTAAAACGACTATTTTTGCGTACTTACAGTGAAATCCAAATAAGTCGTAGCACTGGGTCAAGCCCAGGGAAAAGTTATTGACTCAATATTTATTTGCTAATCAAAAACCTCTTGTGGGTGAACATGCATGATTAAAAATCAGTTTTACGACAGTCAACGCACAATATAATGTGAGTTAAAAAGGTGACTTTGGAATTAAAATAAATCAAGAGGAATGGATGAAGATAAATGATTAATATATATATTATAATATTATATGAAGAGGCTAAGCATATTTTTAATGTCTCCGTTAATAGAAGTGTAACATGAATAAAATATGTAAATAAAATAACGAGGTCTGTCTGGTCTAGAAAATCGCATGGGCTTTGCAACCTATAGGTGCCAGGGTCAGACAACAAATAACCAAGCCTCACAATATTCCAATGCATGATAGGTCTAAATCATGTACGCTAATCTTCCACATTAAGTGTATTAGACTAGAGTTAGAGCCCGCATACTTCTCCCAAGTGTTTTAGAAAGTCATCTTTAAATATCCAGGTCTGAGAAAACAACTATGGTGAATCGTAGACAGATCAGCAACTTCAGAAGACGTAATATAAAAAGTTAAACCATTAAAAGGTCAAATACGTAACAGCACACAGTATTGATGCATGGCTGAGTGAAATAGTAAGTAGTGCATGCATGAGAAGAGAACAAGCAATTACATCATTATTGATAAAATAAAATAAAATTAATCCAATAAGTAAGAAAGGCCATATACCTCTATAAATGCGTCAATTCGCTTCTCATCGGACAATCTTGTATAACAAATGAGCAGAAGTGTGAAATGATCAGCGTTAGCAAGATCGGATTGAATCAATGCTTCAAGATAGAGGGAAAGTTGAGCCATTTGACTTCCCTCGAGAAACTTCAGGATGAGCGAAGGTCGATGAAGATAAAAATATTTGCAAGATAAGAACATAGAGGAAGAAGTAAAAATATGCAGTGATTACAAGCATGGCTGTGATTTTTTGCAAATAGCTTTTCAGTACTCATTAATCCAAAAGAAGTGTCAGTAAAGGCATACAATAAAAAGTTTATCCTTAAAAGATTTGAGCATAAGGGCTTTGGATATAATTATTAAGAGTATTTTGCTTATATATGATAATGAGATAAAAATAGTACGTCCATGTGTCTTATGGGGGTTACAATATCCAAAGGTAATGTTGCACAGACTGTATTTAAATATTATTGAGCTTACTTCCATTTCGAGTGAAAGTGTTGGGTGAAGAGATGCGAAGGTCAGTTTCACCAGAAGACTACGGCGGATTCCTATTGACCAGCTGTCGATTGGCTTTATTGAAAGATTCATGCTGACG